GCCTTCGATGTGAACGAGTAATTCAGAACGAAGGAGAGGAGTTCACAGAGCGTGCAATAACAAACTGTTTCTACTCAATGCTAGAGTCCAGACTCAGCCTGGATCGCCGGACAGCTGCCATATCCAGAGGGAAAAGAGCCCTGAAACCGCAAGATGTTGAACGTATCTGGCTACCAATCATCGAGAACGGGAATGACCTACCTCCCAAGTGGGTATAAAACGGGGAAGATGAGGAGGAGTATTGGCCTGCGCAATACCCCTCGTCATAGTCCACGTTTTGAGTCCCACACTCAGTGCGTAATGGCATTTCCTCGTGGTGGCAACTTCTCCTATTTATTGTGACACGTCCAAGGTTCCTATCCCTTGAACGTACTACCTAGCGTGCCTGGTTGGTACTCATCAACCGCGAGCTGCACGATAAGCCCTACTGGGGACGAATGCGGCTCAAGGCAACTTACGCTCCACCAAAAAAAAAACAAAAAAAAAACGGAGCAACACGTCTGGAACGCGTCGCGCGACCACCGAGGACTTCGGCAAAATGCGACTATACAAGCGCACGGCGTGCGCGGACTTTGCGGTGGGCAGCACCGTATACGTAACCAATTCGCAACCAGTTACCACCAGCTACTCTATCGTTGCCAGTGCTTGTTGATGAGTTTTTGAATGGCATCAAGCTGGTCATGGAACCGTCCGTGGTCATTTCACTCTCTGGGTTGTGCGAGACCTGGCTCAACAGCTTTTTTTTTTCTTGCAGGTATCACCTTCCCGACGATGGTCGCAACCCACAACTTCGCCCCTGTGCTGTTACTGCTTCTTCAATCTGAAACTGCACGAGCTGCTTAAGGCTACTTACTTTGGACGATCGTCGTCTCTGGTAGTTACTTCGAAGGTGAGCCTACGTCAAGACGCTGCCGCGCCTCTATCTCCGCTGTCGTAAGACAGCCCAGCTGGCCATAAAGCGGCAGAGCCACAGCGACCATGAACGCCGTCGGACTGCAGAACTCGCTGTCCAATGCGATCTCGGCTACATATGAGCTGCAGTGTTTGAGCTCCTGGCTTTCAGTCGATGACTACTTCTGGGCGCACCCCAGGGGGATAAGTACTAGCACTGACGGGTTCTGGGCTGTGGCAAATTTCTATTGGCTGTGTGCTTTCCCTGGTGTTCATGGTCAACGTTTCATCGAACGACGTTCAACTGTTCAATATGCGTGCAATTCCCGTTCTCCTGCCCTCTGCTGACAAGCAGCTTACATCTCCTACACGGGTATTACGACAGCTGACGGCGACAATTTTTTCACTCCGATACCTAGCGGCTTCGAGGAACTTTACTCATGGCCGCAACGTTCGACTCGTCCCGGTCTCGGACTACCTACGCCCATCTCCACCCTCGTTGCGTTTGTACGGACTCTGCATATGGCGACCCGTCCCGAGAGACGCTCGCCAACTAAGCGCGTTATGCGAAGTGTCAGCGCTCCTGCGCGTCCCCATCGACCTCCTACGGCCTCGAACTACGTCGAGACTCGACGTGTCCTCTCCCGCAGCTCGGACGGCTTCTGCAGCTCTATCGCGATCACAATCTGGTGATCTCGGTCTCTCGAATCGTTTGAGTTCACCCCTGCCGAAGGACGTCTTCGCGATGCTGTCGTAACTGCTGGGGCGAGCCTCACCTGCTTCGAGTCTCCTGGACGACCCAGATCCCGCTGTCGTCCCACTACCCTCTCCTCCCTCTGTGCACCCTGTTTCGTCATTGTGTTACATCGTCGCTCGACTACTCGCTTCGCCTGGCAGCTGTTCAACGGGATATCAAGTCGGGCGGCGTGCAGCCGCATCTCCGGTTGTCCGCATGGGGACTGTGCGTCCAAGGAAGGTAGATCAAGCAACAGAACCTTCCACCTCTACCCAGATTGCCTCCGGGTATCACCCCGCTCTATCTGGCGGGCGTGGATGACCAGCTTCTATCGTCACGCGTGGGCGAACTGGTGATCAACCCCTCCGGCCATAGTTTCGCCTCGCAGCAGGACGCTGAAAGACCGGCCGGTCTTGATCCCTCTCACACGCCCCACCGGTACGCAAAGGGTGCGATTGCATCGGCGCCCGAAGCAATTCATGGAAATACTCCCGAATTGTCGAGGTTACCAACCGCTTCACCCACGGACATGCGAGGCATTTACACTCAGCCATCACGTTCAGTCCCCGACAAGCTTTCGAACTGATGCGCCGAGCGGAACGTGGACCAGCGCCAGGGCCAAAATTCATGATGTCGGAGGCGTCTATCTGAGCTGAGTCGTATTGCAAACTCAGAAGCTCTTTTTTCTTCCGGACCATTTTTCACCTCCGCGCGAGCATCGACAATCCCCTCGAGCATGCTCAGCTCGAATGACGTACCGAACAATCGATGGCTTATAAACACCCGTTCCCCGAAACCACCCTCCCTAACCCTCCCACTGATCCCGCAGGATGGCTGCCGTCTGGTCTCAACTTGCGCTCGCCACCTCCGCAGCGCCCGCTGTCTTGCTCGTCGTCCTCGTCGTCCTTGGCGCGTACGTCCGGTACCGCAGGAGCGTCAAGTATCGGTATCCGCCTGGCCCGAGGGCGTTACCGTTCATCGGGAACGTCCATCAGCTCCCGGTCAACTACCAATGGCGCAAGCTGGCGGAGTGGGGCAGACAGCACGGTACGACGCTCCCTCGCTCTCCGGCAGCTATCACGACTCACCCCCGAGCACTCCACACAGGCGATGTCGTGTTCGCGAAGTTCTTCCGCACCCCGGCCGTCATCCTGAATTCTAAAGAGGCCGCAGTGGAGCTCATGGAGAAGCGGAGCGCGAAGTATTCCGACCGGCCTCCATTCATCCTACTCAAAGAGCTGTGAGTTCGCGTCCGCGGCGGGGTAGTGTGAATGCAGTCACTGACGTGGCCACAGGATGGGATGGGACAGCGTCCTGAACAACTTGCCATATGGGGAGCGCTTCCGTAAACATCGGAAATGGTTGCAGGACGCGTTCGCCTCCAAGCCCGTCGTGATGGGCTACCGGCCTATCCAGCGGCGGGAAACCTACACGCTTCTGTCTGGGTTGTGCGACAGCCCGGAGCACTTCATGGACCACCTCAAACGGTGCGCTCGCCATTTTCCGTCGAGACTGTGTGCAAGAACTTATGGTTGCTCAGGTGGGCGGGAGGCATCATCCTAGAGATTGCCTATGGCTATCGGGTCACGTCCAACAACGATCCCTTGGTAGAAGTGGCCGAGCGGACGACCGTGGAGACAGTGCTGGGCGGTAGTCCGGGTTCCATGCTTGTGGACTTTTTCCCGATCCGTACGTCTTTGCAGCCCGACTATCGCCGCGACGATGGCTTACCTGCCACGCTCACAGTGCGGTATATACCTCTCTGGATGCCTGGATCCGGTTTTAAGCGACAGGCATTCTTCATCAAGAGCCTCGTGAGGCAGACACTGGACACGCCATTTGCGATGGTTCAACGGGCCCTGGTATGCTTCTTTTGCCGCATGCGATAGCATGCTCTGACCGGGCTGTGCAGAGGGCTGGGACCGCCGCACCGTCCTTCACGGCAACCCTGCTAGAAGAGGCCGCCGCCGAGGGATCGCTAACGGCCGAACACGAGGAGGACATCAAGGGTGCTGCAGGGGCTATCTACACCGGTACGTACACCCGCACCTACCCCCGGCATTAGTGGCGTTAACATGCGATTACAGCTGGCACCGATACCGTACGTGTGGTCGTCCCAACCTGATTACGGATGTCTGTCTCACGCAGGGAACCTAACCCTGATCGCACGCAATAGACCGTGACCGCTATGAAGACGTTCATCCTCGCCATGGTCCTCCACCCGGACGTCTACAAGAAGGCGCAGGAGGAGATCGACCGTGTGATCGGCCCGGAGAGGCTACCCGATTTCGAAGATCGCGAACAGCTGCCTTACCTGGAGTGTGTGTTGAAAGAAGTGTTCAGGTACGTGAACCGTAGTTAGCCGACGACTCGGGACTCGGCGTCCCTCCAGTGATCACTGACCCTTCCTTCTCCGTGCCTAGGTGGAACGCGCCCGTCCCGCTCGGTTAGTACCCTTCGCTGCGCCGTGGCTTGTGGTGAGCCATGGCTAACCCGCTTTTGGATAGGTGTTCCGCATAGGGTTAGCCATGACGATGTCTACCGGGGATACGACATCCCTCAGGGCGCGATGGTTATCCCGAACATCTGGTACGTGACTGACGACGTCCCAATATCACAGCCAATTCTGACTAGCGACTGTGCACTGGCAGGTGGATGACACAAGATCCTGATGTGTACCCCAACCCGGCGCGCTTCGATCCCGACCGCTACCTGCACATGTCCCCCGAGGAGTCCGAGCACACCGACCCAAGGAACGTCGTCTTCGGGTTCGGGCGACGGTAAGTTCCTCCTGCGTCCCGTTCCCCCCAGAATCATGCTCATGAGAGTCATCGCCGCTCGCCGCAGGGTGTGTCCCGGCCAGATCTTTGCGGACGCGAGTGTGTGGCTCGCAGCGGCGAACATAATCGCGACCATGGATCTCACTTGCGCAAAGGACAACTTCGGGCGCGACATCGTCCCGGAGGCTGTCTTCATCTCTGGTTTCGTGAGGTGCGTTGCCAGTGCTTTGCGACCACTTAGATTCCCCGTTGTCGCCTGAGCTGAACCCTGCTCGCAGTCATCCGAAGGAGTTTACATGCTCCTTCCACCCGCGATCCGCGAGGATACGGGGGCTCATCGCTCACATGAGTGCGGTCAATATCGTGACGTCCTGAACCCCCCTGCCCCCGCCGGACCCCGGACGAACCATGTACTAAAGAATACCCAAGGAGCGGACCTGCTAGTGTTCGGAGAGGCGACTGTTCTCCCAGGAGCGTCCTGTTAGCCTGTTTTGCATGTACGATATGGCAACTGTCCTATGAGCAGATCTTGCAATGGATACCACTCAAGGCTCGTAAGAGTGATATAACACATCTACATGGGTGTTGATGCGACACTGATGGTGAAACGGTATCATGCTTGCCTTCCATGGGTCGATTGATAGCAAGCGGCGTGGGTTCGACTCCCTCTCAGTGTATTCCAGAGGATGAAACTGTGTTTTTTTGAGTTCCAGCTCTGCTTGCAGCTCTGCGTCCCGTCTCTGGCTAATTCAATACTTACGTCGTTGAGTTCGTTATGTAAGTGCAACCCGCGATGACGGCCTCCTCCACCAAGTGCTGGTGCAAGCGCAGTCACTATCAGAACATCCACGCGGTATCCAGTGGATCTGGTGGTCTTGAGCTCACGTCCAAATCTACGGGCAGATCCGTATGCATAGTACCTTCCAAGAATAGCCACACAACAGTGCACTCGTACTCGGTACTACAACAGTCCAACTCAGTAACTAGCACAAGTCCTGAATATCATCCATCGTCAAAAGATCATCGTCCCGTCCAGTCAGTACGCATCACCTCTCCGCCTTTTCCTCCCATCGTCCCATCATCCCAAAGTCATTTTCTCACAAAGGAGCTCGATTCAGAGTCCCTGCACCGCAGAAGTCCGACGACAACGTCAACCCCCCAGATGACGACTCACAGCGGGACGCTCCCCTGCAAGCGGAAGTCCCGGCTGCTGGCGCCCACGGAGAACGTGAACGTGCCGTCGGGCTTCCGCCACCCCTGCGCGACCGCGTCCCACACGCTGAGGTCGTACCGCGACAGCGTGAGCGTCACCGTCTCGCTCTGGCGCGGGCGCAGGAGCACGTCCGAGAACCCGCGCAGGACGCTCGGCGGCTCGCCCGCGCTCTCCGGGAAGTGCAGGTACAGCTGCGGGATCTAGCACGAGGCAGATCCGAGTCACAGAGTCGACAGAGGGAGCCGCGAGGGAGGGGAAGGAGAAAGAGAAGGGGAGATCAGCGTCAAGAAGTGCGTGTGCGAGAGAGAGAAGGGAGGAGACGCACCTCGCCGCCCTTGACCTTGCCGGTGTTCGTCACCTTGAACGAGACCTCGAACGCGGGGCGGTGGAGCCAGATCGCGGTCGAGCCGCCCTCGACGTTCGGCGACGCCGCGCCCTTGGCCCACGCAGCCTCGAGCGCGGCGGACGTGTGGTCCGCGTGGTGCACGGCGCGCACCTTGAGGTCCGAGTACGAGAAGTTCGTGTACGACAGCCCGAAGCCGAAGGGGAAGCGCGGCTCGATGTTGTTCTGCAAACAAAGGCGAGTGTCAGTCCCGCCGTCACGATCATGAGAGAAACTAGAGAAGACAGAGGCGAGCACTTACAGCGTCGAAGTGGCGGTAGTCGATGTTCAGGCCCTCGGTGTACTCAATGAGCAAAATGTCGTCCTCCGTCCCGCCAGTGATGAGCTGCGCCGAGTAGTCCGCCGGGCTCTTCGCGATCGTGTACGGCAGACGTCCCGACGGGTTGACGGCGCCATACAGCACGTCCACGATCGAGTTGCCCGACTCCTGCCCAGGCAGACTCGCCCACAGCACCGCCGTCACGTTCGGGTTCTCGATCCACGGCTCCAGGATGGCCGGGCCGACCGAGTGCACGACCACAATGGTGTTCGGGTTCGCCTGCGCGACGGCATTGATGAGGTTGTCCGCGTTGCCCCAGAGCGTGAGGTTCTTCCGGTCGCCCTCGTTCCCGTCTACGGTCAGGTAGCCCTCGCCCGAGTCCGCGTTCACGAACACGAGCGCGACGTCCTGGTCAATAGCAGTGGCGGCCGCGCCCACGAGGTCGTAGTTGTCCAGGAACCACGACACGCTGGCCTTGTCCTGGCGGGCGCGCTGCTGGAGCGCCTCGAGCGGGTCGATGAGGTACGGGAAGTTCGTCGTGCCGGAGCCCCAGCCCATCGCAAGCGTGCCATCGTCGCCCGCACGGTCGCCGTATCCGTTCGGGCCGCGGCTCGATGGACCAGCGTCGTTACCTGAGGTTCAGAGTGTCAGCAATTGCCCACGAAGGGGACTGGGGACAGCGCGCACCGATGATAGCAAGCGACCGCGGCTTGTCCAGCGGGAGCGCGTTCCCGGCGTTCTTCAGCAGGACCGTGCCGGCCGCGCCGATCTCGCGCACGACCTTGTAGTGGTCCTCCTGCACGTCCACGTGCTGGTTCGTCGCCGGGTCGTTCTGCGCGAACGCGTTGAAGCTCACTATGAATAGCCATCAGCGTCCGCCAGCGCGTGACAGCGTCCTGAAGACACTCACCATTGGGGTAGCCCTTATCCTGGTCGAGGAGATACCACGCGGCGACGATCCGCTCCGCCATGTCCGTGAGCCGCGACTCCGCAATCGTCCCGTTCTCCACGAACGCGGTCAGGTTCGGGCCCCACCAGGTGGTCCCAGAGCCGAGGGTGATGTCGCCGGGCATAGACATCTGCAGCCGCGCGTCAGCCAACGACCGGGGACATGTGCAAGCAAGGCTCACATCGAGACCGTTGACAGCCGCGAGCGTCGAGTGGTGCGCACCCCAGTCGGACTGGACGTAGCCCTGGAAGCCGACCTCGCCCTTCAGGATCTGGTTCAGCGTGCGGTCGTTCTCGCACGCCCACGAGGCGTTGATCTGGTCTGCATTGCTCGTCAGCACGATGACAGTCGGTGAGGCACATATACGCACTGTAGCTGCACATGACCGACGCAACGCCGGCCTGCACCGAGCGCATGAACGGGTGCAGGTATATCTCATGCTCCGTGCGATCGTCGACGTGCGAAGACTCGTGGTCACGCTTGTGCTCCTGCTCGCTGTACGCCGAGCGTCAGTGACAGCGTTCGGCGGTACAGTTCAATGACCTACTTGTTGATGAAGTGCTTCGCGCACGCCTGCACGCCGCTCTCCTGCAAGCCTAGCACGGTCTCATACGCAGACTCGCCCGTGAGGAACGGGTCCGCACCGAATCCCTCCCAGTTCCGCCCACCCTGCGCGATCCTGCCCATGTTCATCATCGGACCGAGCGCGACATTCGCGCCCTTGCCCTTGAACTCCGCACCCATCGCCTGCCCACGCTGGCGGAGAAGCGTCCGGTTCCACGTCGACGCGACAGTGATGCCGGCGGGGAATGCCGTGACAAAGTCGGTGTCCCGGACACCCAGCGGGGAATCCTGCAGACAGAGTCCGGGGAAGTCGCCGACCGCGGCGATGTTGCCGACGCAGAGGCCGTTCATCCAGAAGACGCCGGTGGAGACGTTCACCTTCTGCTCGACCGACCAGCCGGAGATGAGCTTCTTTGCCTGGGAGTGCGCCTTCGCCCATGCGGGAGCGAAGTCGGGGATCAGGTCGGAGCCAGGAGGCGGAGGCGACTTCGGAGAGGTCGAGGGGAACGTTCCTGGGATGGGCGACGCAGAGGGCACCGGGAACGACGAGAAGGGGTATGAGGAGATCGGAAGGGTGCTGAGCGCTGCGGGCGAGGTCGTTAGTATGCGTATTGCATGGGAAACATGGGGAAGAAAGCGGAGAGAAGCCAACGAGGGAGCAACTCGTCTGTGTAACAGTAGCACAGAGCGAACACATTCTGTTGAAATAGTGAAGAACCTCCTTCGCAGCTCAAGAAGGCATCTCGGAGAAATGATAGCTGAAGGAAGAGAAAGCGACGGGCTTCTTGCAGCGCATCCACGCGGGACGCGGACTTCAGAGATACCCGATCACCCGACGGCTCGACGCATGGGCGAAGCGGCAACTGATCAGAGCGGCTTTGCTGCTCAGGACCACTATGTCTGCGACTTCGATTGCTAAGTTTGGAGCCTGAGGTTCGCGCAGAATGCGCGTGTTCCACACGTCAAGAAGGTCAGGATGCCCACACGTGTCCGCAGAATGCGACCCAGGCCATCCTGAAACCGCCATAGTACGGCCTGCACACTTACGAGACAGGAAAACGAACATGTCGTCGTTCGGAATGCTCGGGCACCCGAACTCAGAAGGCGGAAATTGCAGGGAGGAGCAGGTGATCGTGAACGTGCGCAGATCCTGCTTATGTGGCTTATCGAGCGGTCAAAGGAACACGTCCCTCCGGGCATTGCGCCAGCGTTCGCGACATGCGCCATCTCGTGCAAGCGCAGATGATGGGCTACCAGGAGCCCGGTCCAGGATGAGAACGAATAATCCAAGACCAAGGGCACGCAGGTGCAGAAGACACATGTGACCATCTTGGATGACACAGCCCCGCCACACAAATGGTCGGGTGAGAACAATGGCTATGTCCAAGCTCGCGACCACGACGTTTGAGAATCCAGCAGAGGTGAGGAAGCACGCATGTATATGCAAGTGCCACCTCCCCAGACCCGTCAGGAACTCGGTAACGTCTCAAGTCAAGGACACGGCTGACCGAACGCTCTCATCGTAAACGGACATCCGGAAAGCCAACGCCATCCCGCGCACATGCACATGTCCAAGCTCCGGTCCGCGAAACCGATTGGCTATGTGCGAGCTCGTGGTCACGCCATTCCACGAGCAGTCCTCGCGCGAAAGGGACGAGAAAGCATCCTGCGGGACCACGGGAAGCCCGAGTAACGATCATGCAGCACCTTGCAAAGAAACATGGCCTTGAAGACATGCGCGACGTCCGGACGCGTACGCAAAGTTCGGAAGGAGTGAGCACGCCTGGGTGAGTCCGTCACACGCGTCCAGCATGTCCGGCTCTGGGTGTCGAAGACTCCAGGGCCGACAGTGCAAAACGTAAAGTGAACGCAGACTGACAGAATGCTCGAGTGGAAAGAGATCAGAGAATGTGCCCTGCACCGCACAACGTTGGGAGGCCGGACCTCTGCCCGATTTAACGGAAGTGAAGAAGTCCGCATATATGCGCAAATCCCGTATCTCCGGGGGCGTCATGGCATGCCAAGTCTCTCGCGCAACGAGCAGCATCCCAAACGCGTAAATGCCAGACTATATGCGCCATATTTGTCACGTATTGGGGCAGGATGCCGTACACGCGTTCCGACGCGTGGAGCAAGGGTGTGAACATGCCTGGTTCCGAGTGCTGGAGACTGCACGTCGAGACAAGGCTCAAGTGAAGAAACAGAACGAAGACGAAGACTTCTCAAGTGCAAAATAGGTGTAGCAGAACAGTCAGAGCAGAGGAGAAATTGCATGCAATGAAGAGAGAA